CTTTCGTTACAGGCTCATATAAATGAAGTCAGAAAAGGACAATATGCGATATCTCGATGTCCGCATAGTCGGTGACTATACGCTACACAACAGTGGAAATGAGATACCATCGCGTTCGACGCGAGGTCTTGTAAGGGGTGAACGGCAAATAACAAAATAGCCAGGACATTCAACTACGTAAATAACGTAATTCAGGTAAGACACTGGTTGCTGGTGGGCCAAATATTCTCGACCTTTCGTCCATTTTTGCCAATCTGACTTAAATATCCCGATCTGTTTCACGCTTCCTTCCAATTACAAATGTTTATGGGCTGGGAATGCTATGTAAAAGAGCACAGACAGTGTGCGAAGGCCAACATACGGTTAAGTGCTCTGCCACAGAACCGGCGGATTATATCATGAGAATCGCAGTGGCACTTACTTTGCCCTCAATAATGGGACTGCATAAAGATACAAAAGAGGCTACTACACGAATGCAGACAGCTAATCTATTGATAAGCCTGAATTCAGCCTAGAACGTAAACCAAGAGGGATGGGAATCGCACATGGAATTGTAAATAAAACGAGGAGCATTGTATTCGAAAAATTTAAAGAAGCCTGTCGGAATTAGAAATTATTGCAAATTAGCCTGGGTTCGTATATACGATGGGCTTTGGTCGGGTGCTAAAAACAACTTTTTTCCTCACAACTGCGTTCACCAAAAGTTGTTTGGTTTCATTCTGAAACTTCTTGGAAGTAACAACCAAACTTTTTTCCAGCTTCACGATTTTCCCACGAAGAACATGATGACCAATAATAAGAACGGGCTCGAACTAAGGTAACCAAAAAAAATCATACATTTTTGGTGAAATGCAGGTCAGCTACAGGCAGACCCTTTAATGATTGAAATTCCGACTTTATTTTTCCCTGAAGTTCTATGATAAACCATTCCTCAACGTTAGGGCTGAGCATATATAAGATTATAAAAAAACAGACCAGCAAACAAGGGGAAGAAACATGAGAAGCGCCACCAACGGGGACTAATGAGTTAGCAGACCGCCTAGAGCACGGTAAAACATATTGTAACAAAACGTCTAAAAATAATTTCAAAATCATTGCATTTATTTAGACGTTTGACTAATTCTATAATTTTATTTTAGATATTAATTAGTTTAATTTGACGAACGGGCTAAACCGCCGGACTGCGCTTTTTTCCGATGGACAGCGGATCAACCTCTGGCTCTGTCCCCAGGACTATTATTGACATTCAGAAAGAACTTTACAGAAAAGCCCTCTATAGTGAAGCGTTTACAAAGAAGGGGAGCAATAGCTATCCCTTCAACATAGAGCCCTTTGGTCCTGAACGCGATCGTCTAGCTCTTCCCTTTACAGACGAGGACAGGGCGTTAAGAAAGCAATGGCTCAAGGACCAGGTTCTATCGGAGCGTGAGCCAGTTTATGTCCCAGAGTATAGCCGTGTGAATATATTTAGGAGGTTGTACCGAATGCCTTATGACGCACTTGCCAATGTCGTCCGACCTGTATTCGTAAGCATACTCTCTTTCCATTTTTAGGGTGTAAGCGTCGCGAATACGTTTAGATTTTGCTTCCCTAAAATCATGGGGGGCCTTACTATTACCTGGCTCCTTTGGTATCATATCAAATACTCTGGCAGAGTAAGACCATATTTTATATCAATTTTCCAGACCTGGGAGACTGGCTTAAAAGGCATAAAAGTCTACCGCGGATCTCGACCTGTTACTTATCCGGTAAGTATTTGAATATCTTATGCATACAGGGCGATCCTCAATTCCCTGGGCCAAGTTATGCTGACGATCAGTACGCATTGGAAGGATTTTATCAAAGGAAGTCTTTCCTAGGTGAAAAACTCGTGACAAGCGGGGCATAATTTGTTAAAGTTTCCCAAAATTTGTAGATAGACTTAGAAGTTACGTTGTTATTACTTAACATTGCGCTTCTTGGTTCTCTTGGTTTCTTAGGGTATTCAATATTTAGTTTTTCGTCGTATGATAATGCAGATAAGCAATTATGCATTTGCTTCAGATCACTGGCAGTTTTCGCGTTACTAAACAGCTGCGCTAACGGAGATAAGATGGATCGAAGCTGCTGTTTTTATGTACATACAAAAAATTAACCGCTAGCACGGCTTAGTCTAGCGATGCAGTTCCTTACTCAAGTGGCCATACTGGATTGAAACCCGTTTTACTTGTTCCCCTGCCATCATTTTGTCTACACGAGTCGTTATCTCTGGCATCCGCTTTTTATCGGCGACCTGCGTCAGTACATAGATCAAAATGCTTGATGTAATCTCGCAATGACAGTAATCTTATGCGCGATCTGTGCGACACTTGTCGTTTGCATGTGTTTATTTCGGTTGGCCTCCAAACTGATAACATCCCTGCACAGGTTGTTCACCATCACTCCGGTATGAGTCAGCCATCCGTCCACTCCTGCGTGAGGCTGCTTTTTGTGTTTTGGCTAGAGATCGTGATGCGGGACTAGGACGGCCTTGAAATAGATTAAACGTCCCTACAACTCAAGATGTAACTGATGGTGCGCTAGGTGAATCTGCCATAACTAGATGTGATCAGGCTCGGGACTTACTGGACACTGCACCGGCTGGGCCGATTCAGTTTGGTGCTCTTACTAAGGTTAATAATCCTGGCACCAGTCCACTTCCCCTCCGCCTAGCCGCGTACTCGCACGATGCAGTTAGCCTGTTAGCATCACCTATTTCCGGGACATCGACTGGTGTCGGCAATTGGGCGCGATTATTTATTGTGTTGGGTAGGAATAACATGAAAAAGGCATTGGGGGCCCAGCCCAAGGTACTGCGTTATCTGGTGCGGTTCATACTATCAAAAATAGACACCCTTGCCGCAGCAACGTCTCATCAGTTTAATCTTTAAAGCTACGCTTTCCAGGATTAAAGTATTTATACAATTCTT